ATGATTCCCGAGTATGTGTTACTGGCCTGGAGTGGTAAAGTGTCCTACCATGAAGGACTCAATAAGGCTGCCCTCCCCAGAAACCTTTTGCAAAGGCTTTGGGAGTACATCCAGGAGAGCTGCGAATGCTAGGGCAAAGTAATCCTTTCACATGCTTGCTTTTAAACCATGTATAGTATTTTAAAAGGTACACTCACCGGAGGTCCCTTCTCCGCCTGCTGGGTCCAGGAGGCAGCCTTGGGTGGGTTCAGGGGGTACTGGCTCCAGGTCCAGGGTGAGAAACAGTTCCTGGCTGTCGGGAAAACCGGTTTCTCCGCTTGCTTGCTGTGAGCTATCTACAACCTCATCATCATCATCATCTTCTTCATCCCCGAAACCTGCTTCCATATTGCCTCCATCTCCATTGAAGGAGTCAAACAACACGGCTGGGGTAGTGGTGGCTGAACCCCCTGAAATGGCATGCAGCTCATCATAGAAGCGGCATGTTTGGGGCTCTGACCTGGAGCAGCCGTTCGCCTCTCTGGTTTTCTGGTAGGCTTGCCTCAGCTCCTTCAGTTTCACACAGCACTGGTTCGGATCCCTGTTATGGCCTCTGTCCTTCATGCCCTGGGAGATTTTGACAAAAGTTTTGGCATTTCGAAAACTGGAACGGAGTTCTGATAGCACGGATTCCTCTCCCCATACAGCGATCAGATCCCGTACCTCCTGTTCGGTCCATGCTGGAGCTCTTTTGCGATTCTGGAACTCCATCATAGTCACCTCTGCTGATGAGCTCTGCATGGTCACCTGCAGCTTGCCACGCTGGCCAAACAGGAAATGAGATTCAAGAGTTCGCGGTTCTTTTCCTGTCTACCTGGCCAGTGCATCTGAGTTGAGAGTGCTGTCCAGAGCGGTCACAATGGAGCACTCTGGGATAGCTCCCGGAGGCCAATACCATCGAATTGTGTCCACAGTACCCCAAATTCGAGCCGGCAAGGCCGATTTAAGTGCTAATCCACTTGCCAGGGGTGAAGTAAGGAAATCGATTTTAAGAGCCCTTTAAGTCGAAATAAAGGGCTTCATCGTGTGGATGGGTAGAGGTTTACATCGATTTAATGCTGCTAAATTCGACCTAAAGTCCTAGTGTAGACCAGGGCGAAGGTGCCACAAGTACTCCTGTTCTTTTTGTGAATACAGACTAACATGGCTGCTACTCTGAAAACAGCAGCAAAGCTGCAGCAGCTCAGTCAGCAGCATGGGCTAGCCCTGGGTATGTATCTGAGGAAGTAACCCAGAGGTGTTTACACATGCTCCAATCACAAAGCTAACTAGGCTACCTCTACATGTGCTGCTATCATACTTCCCAATTGCTTTGCAAACATACTCTTAGTGATAGTCCTGGGTCTCCACTTTTTACAAGGGGAAGGCCTGTGTCCCAGCTATCCTAAGACTGGGGCCTTAGCTCCAACAACCCTATTTCTCACCATGCCTCTTTCAGCAGGTCCAGATGAACCTGGACCCCCACTGGAGACTTACCCTTTTGGGAGCTATGCAACCAGCAGATGGCTGCAGGAACACAGGACAGTCTTCTCAAAAAACAGATGTCATCTATAAGTCACCTGGAATACAGTATTGAGGGTCATTAGATTAGAACAATAATGCAAGGCCTACAGACCCCTGTGCATGCTGGCAGCACGACCTGCCTGTCTTGCTCAGACATCCACAATTTCATCCCTGCCCTGGTATGGCAGGATCTTCCGTTCTATGGTCTCAAGTCCTAGCCATGCTGTTTTCACATATCCTGCCCCCCCATGGCCAATAGTTGTGAAAAATCAGTGGTCTGATGGTTGGCCTCCATTGTATCTACAAGGGAGCTGCATTCCCAGGCTGTTTGCAGTGTTGTAGTTGTTGTGATATCCTGCTGCTCCCAGGATATTAGAGACAATGTGGGTGAGGTCATATCTTTAATTGGACCAGCTTCTGTTGGTGAAAGAAAAGCTTTTGAGCTACACAGAGCTCTTCTTCAGGTCGTGACTCGCACCCAATCGCTGCCTTCCTTTCTCCACCATCCCAGAAAGGAAATTAACCCCTTTACACCCAGGTGGTAACAATACAAAAGCGAATGGGGGGGAAACTAAGACATATGTATTCTTCCTAGAAATAATATGGACATTTTCCACATTCTCCACTCACTCAAAAACTGAATTATCCAAACACCTAATCTGTCAAGGAAAAGAAAGGTAGAAAGAAAGAGAGAAGGAAAAGGAGGGCGTGGGGGGGAATCTAGATCAAAGGTTAACATCGCTTTTAAGCCAAATCAGAGTCAAGAACACCAACTCTTACACGTGTGATTGAATATCGCAATTAGACACTCCTACATGTTTGTCTTATAGAACATTCCACTTTCTTGCTGCTTTAATTTTCTCCGATCAAGCGGAGAAAAGAGATTGAAGCTCCTTTTACTTTATTTTTGATTGTAACTTTTCTTTTGGGTTCTTGAGGGCAGCAACTTCTGACCCAACTGATACAATGAATAAAGATGAAAAAAAAATAGCCCTCCTCCACACCGCACTGGGCACCTGTGCACATGCTGTTCCTCAGCAATAAATGCTACTCAGACGACGAGATAAGCTTGCCATACCATTTTATTTACATGGTAATATTCCAACGATTGCTTTTCTGCAGCCGTAAAAAGTTTATCTCAAACTCACAAGCCTGTTTGGGTAGCAGTTATTGCAGAGTAAAGATTTATGCAATCAGGAAATAATGGCTTTCGGTAAGTATATATTTATCTTGCATGTTGCGAGCCTCAATACTCCACGTAGCAGCCTGCTTATTCAGGTGAGCTCCCTGCAGGGGTGATGTCTGCTTCTTCCCTGCTTGGATGCATCAGAGGATTTGGACTCCAGCACAGGACCATGGCACTGGCTCTGTGGAGGATAGGGGTAAATGCCTGCAGCAATGGAATGCACAGTCCTGTGCAAAGCCGGAGTAAAAGGGACTTGCTCTGGGGTCGGGGGGGAGGGCTGTGGGTGGAGTATCAGCAGAGTTGGGCTACGGACACTGCTGGAGCCCATGTCTGGGATTTCCATTGACTCTTAATGGGCGTTGTGTGCCCAGCTCCCCTTTGACAATAGGTTGCAATAGTAGTCAAGGACCACTGTGCCCTGTCTATCCAGTTATTACAATGCTGGGCCACCCTTGACTAGGGACTTCCCATTGTGCCAAATTATGCAGTGGTTTCACAATGGGAACTAATATAAACCTAGAGCTGGGTGGGAAATTCCAAGATCTCGACAATTGTTGTCATTCCAAATCAGGATAAAAAGTCAAAATATCATTTTTTTTCACATAATGGAAGGTCAGTTCAACATTGAACTGTGTCTGCCTGAGTAGCTGCATTGCATCATGGGAGTTGTAGTTTGAGTTGCATATACCCCCATTTTTCTTCTACAGGCAGGGCTCCCCAGCTGGAATATATTTCCCATGATGCACCCTGATAGGAGCATCCACCATTGGGGGGGAGGGGACACTGCTGTGCATCATGGGATATGTAGTGCAGCCATGGAGCCTAGCCCATAGAGGAGTGTGGGGGCATAATGTACCTGAATTTAAACTCCCAGGAGGCACTGCAACAGCTCAAGCAGAAAAAGGTTAATGTAGAATTGACCCAACATGAAATGTTTGTATTTGGTTGGACAAAGGAAAGCTTCAATTTGAGCTGGCCCATCCTGAAACAAAATATTTCATTTCTGGTGTTTCCTAATGGAACATTGAAAAATTCTGGCAAAATTGAAATTTTCCCACAGAAATTTGCAAAGGAGAGAATGAAATCAGCTATGCAGCTCTTGTTACTACTGACAAGAGTCCAATTAGCTACGCAACTCGCTGAAAAATATACCTTTATTGGCTTCTTTCTATTACTTCTCTAAATAACAATGGGAATGACAAGAAAAATCTAATGTATATTACTCCTTCAAATGAACTAATCTGATGGGAACTCCAGCTGTGCCAAAAATTAATTCCACCTTTGAATAAAGGATTTAGGGTCTGAATTTCAGAAGTGCCAAGCAGCCAAACTGCTGGAGTCAATAGGAACAGTGCATACTCAGCACCTCTGAAAATCAGGTCTTTATTGTCTAAATTTATTTGAAAATAAAGTATTGGTTGGATTAATAATAAAAAAATCCCTTCAGCATCCCATTAGTTCATTAATCCCCCGTCTCTTTCCTTCTGACTTCGCTCATGGTCAATTTTCCTTTGCAGCATCCAAAACTGACTAACAACCTTTTACCAGGCTGTGTGAAAAAAATATTCATAATTTCATTCGGATTTTGTGACACGGCAATTTCAGTCTTTGTGAAACTCTCACAAAATTGATGATTTGATACTAGACCCTGCACAAATGAAGGGCCATTTCCACAGTTGGAATAAATCACATAGTCCTTTTGACTTTGGTGGAGCAAGGCCAGTTTACACCAGGTGAGGATTTGGGTGTGAATATTTGTAAGGTGCTGCTGTCCAGTTCAAACTGGAGATAGGGGGTGTTAAGAATGCAATAGTGTGTTCCATTCACGGACAATTCATGCCACATGTTTTTTTGACTCCGCTTGATAGAGTTTGCCAAAGCCAACTAATTCAGCCTGGTTTGGCATCAGAACTTTGCAACTCCAATGAGTTTCATGTGGTTTTCACCCCAAACCATCATTTGACCCTGGCTTACTTGAAGTGAAACTCTGCAGTGCTACTGACTTTCAGGAAATTATTTTGGTTTAACCTCCCTACTGGCCCATTCAGTCACAACACTGCTGACTCCAGTGGAATTAAACCTGCTTACTCCAGTAGTGCCTTTGGTCCCATTTCACTGTCCAGCAAACTACTCCAGTTTATGGTCTAATGCAGTGAACCAAAGGAAGATGGAAAAGTGTTCATGGGGGAAGAAAATGCTCATCACTCCAAGAAAATTCTGTTTCTTTAATTTTGCTAGAAGAGATGAACTAATCTCTCTCTTTTCTTTGCAGGCATTTCCAGAGTCTCTACATAACGGAACAGAAGAACTTACGGTAGGGCCCTGAAGACCCAGATCCTACTTGTTTCCCTGCATATTTCTGGGCTCTCTTTTTGATTCCAGCATGAGCAAGACTGAAGATCTTAACATGGTCCCTCCCTTTCCATTCAATAAGAATTGGAGTTTAGAGCGAGGCTTCCTCACACATATCCCAGGTCACTGCAGAAACACAACTGACCTTACTGTCTTTTTAGTCGCCTCATATAGCTTAGAAACCATCCTAGGCATCCTCGGAAACATTTGCCTGATTAGTGTCATAGTCAGGCAGAAGGAGAAGGCCAACGTCACCAGCATATTCATTACCAACTTGATAGTCTCTGACTTGTTCATGAGCATCGTCTGCCTGCCTTTCACCATCGTCTACACCCTGATGGACTACTGGATATTTGGTGAGGTCATGTGCAAAATGACTTCCTTCATCCAGTGCATTTCTGTGAGTGTGTCAATTCTCTCCCTTGTCCTCATTGGTCTGGAAAGACACCAGCTCATCATAAACCCAACTGGCTGGAGGCCAAGCATCCCCCAAGCCTATCTAGGGATTGTAGTCATTTGGACATTAGCTTGCCTTATGTCTCTGCCCTTTCTGACGACCTCCGTCTTGACATATGACTTGTACAAGCAGTTCTCCTATATTACGGATTCTTCTGCCGACAAGGCCATATGTATGGACTCATGGCCTTCTGACCAGCACCGACTCATCTACACCACTGCCTTGCTGCTGTTCCAGTACTGCATCCCTCTCTCCTTTATCCTGGTTTGCTACCTGCGTATCTATTTACGCTTGCAGAAGAGAAAGGACATGTTTGAGAAGAGTGCATACAGTGGCCGAGTGGTTCAGCTGAGGAGGATAAACATTTTGTTAGTATCCATGGTGGTTGCCTTTGCTGTTTGCTGGTTACCATTGCACGTTTTCAATAGCATTGAGGACTGGGATTACAAAGCCATTTCCCCTTGCCACCACAACCTTATTTTCTCATTGTGCCATCTAGTAGCCATGGCTTCCACCTGTGTCAACCCTGTTATCTATGGGTTCCTAAACAATAACTTCAAAAAAGAAGTGAAGTCGCTGATACTGAGCTGCCAGCATAATTCATCAATGGAAGAATATGAACATTTACCTTTGTCATCCATGCAGACTGAAGTCTCCAAAGGCTCCGTGAGGTTGAGCTGTAGACATAATTCCATCTAGTCACAAGGGAACATCTTCTGAAGTCTCCACTGAAGAGACTTCAGGGAGGTTATTACACATGGATGATAAAAGCAATTGATGGCACCATAGTCTGACTCCAACACGTGCACCATAGCCAGCTGCTGTCCAATTTTTGGAAGAACAGTCATTGACTGCAAGGAAAGATAATCAGTATAGATAAGTGAGGAAGATCAAAGGAGATACCGAATTGTATGTATTGGTGAGGTGGCGCAGCTCTGAAAACAGACTTCTTGCAAACAGGACATGTGCTCAAGAAGTTGCTTTGTTTCTAACTACTTAATAGACATCTATGGTTGCACACAGACAGCAGGGTCATCAGCTAAGCTGCAGACCCTTATCACTGAGGGTAGAACCTGGGAATTCCAACTCAAACACTTGAGTTAGTGGAAATTCTCCTCTGTCAGTATTAGTAGGAAACATACATACGATAGGCTGACCACTAAGTTTACGAACAGAATTATAAGACAGGATTGCCTGCAATAGCAGGGGACTGGACTCGGTGACCAGGAGGTTCCTTCCAGCCCTAGGTCCTCTCTGCCTACATTCCTCTAGGAATGTGGGTATATATAATGTGTACATTACTGACCCCCTCTCACCCACTATTAGGAAACACTCATCTTCTCAGCTGATGAGGTTCACAGTAGTTCACATCCAGCAGATCTGTAACATATCTGTAACTACTTACATACAGACATTGGTGGCAGTTAAACCTGCCCATGCAGCATGGTGATTCAGCCATGAACCTGTCACTTCAAAAACCCCACAGGCTTCTACCACTTGAACTTCAAGGAAACGTCTAAAAAAGGAAAAGGAGGACTTGTGGCACCTTAGAGACTATCAAATTTATTTGAGCATAAGCTTTCGTGAGCTACAGCTCACAAATCTCTGTTCACGCTAGGGCTTCTCGTGTACCCTCTTTTGGCCAGCTTCTTGATGACAGTATTCCAGAAAACTACACCACATGGCACACTGAACTAGCACAAACCAGAACCATTGCTCAGTAACAAGGTGCATCAAGAACTAGCACCATCTATGGATGATAGACAGCAGTTGGAGGTGTTACGCTATTTGTTGCCTCTGTTACCCTTCATGGAGACTATGCAGATCACTTCCCTTTTCAGATGATGCAAAACCAAACAATCCCAGATTTACATGGGAACTTGGTCAGATTGACTTGACTGTCATTCTTCTGGCTGTAGATCCTATGTCTCCATGCTACTAAAGGTACAGTCACAGATGCTGGTACTTTAAGATGTTTGGATCATTGGCGTCTTTGACAGATCTCAGATGGGGGATTGAGGTGACACTAAGCCAATGTCACATCCGTTCTTTGCTTAGCATCTCATTCTGCTCACAGGCTCTCTCATGTGGAAGGACCAAATGGCTGGGGAGAAAGGCTTCTGATGTAGAAATGCCAGCTGTAATGAACAGTGACACTTCCAGTGGAGTGAAGCACATTTTGAAAACAGGCGCCAAGGCTTCAGGTTTACCCCAGAAGAGAAAGGACCTTGGAAGGAGTGATGCCAAAACTGTGAAAAGTCTATGGAAGACCAATGAAAATACATGAAGGGGATTGAGTCACACACATTAAATCCAAGCCACATGTAAATCAAGTGTGTTGTCAATTGTGTCATGGAAGCGAGCTTTGTGCTTTCTCACTTCAGTGATATTTTTTTACCCTTTGTCTGGGCAACTTACCTGCAAACCATAAGAAACATAATACTCATTTTTCTTTAGAAAAAAACAGTACATCATACTTCTGGAGTCTGAGTTCCTCTCTTTATCAAGACATTGCTCTGCAGCTACTGCTGGGAAACCAAGATGGAAGTCAATATTAGGCACTGTTGAAAGTGAAAGCAAATCAGAAAGGACACCAACACTTTCATATAAAGTATACTAGGACAGTTTTAAAGACCTAAATGGGGTCATGTTTTGTCATGACTTGACATTCTGTGCAATCTCATCCAAGTCAGTGGGCTTGCACATGGTGGAAGGTATTCAATGCATAGATACTAGAAATACAATAGCTATGTAGTTACCTCGCTAGACAAAGTGGTAGGTCAGAGCAGAATTTGACCCATGCATATTCTCCTTCAGACCCCAGCATATGGGGCAGATTTTGTGACTGCAGTGTAGCTTTAGCCATGTCAGTCCGGGGTATTAGAGAGACAAGGTGGGTGAGGTCATATCATTTGTCGGACCAACTTCTGTTGGTGACAGAGACAAGTTCTGTAGCCACACAGAGCTCTTCTCCATGTCAGATTTTGTGAAGACAGGAGCTAAACCATCTCATGCTACAAAGTAGCAAGTTCCATTAATATCCAGTGGGCTAGATCCTCAGGTGATGTAAATGGGAGCAGCCCTACTGAGTTAAATGGAGGCAAGTTACATCATCTGAGAATCTCACTCATTGATGTAAGTGGAAGTTGAAGATGCTCATCAGCTTACGGACTTAGACCCCAAGTTCTTGACCATGCCAGAACTGTCTAGTGGCAGCTATCCTTTTGATTCCCTTCAGAAATCTGCATCCTGAAGTCAGCTGATCTATGCATGATTTCATTTTGTATCTTTACCTATTGATCTGACACGCATTTCTGCTCCTTCCCAATGAGCTTTCTGCAGTCTTCTTTAGATATTAGTTGCCATGACGATGAGGAGAATTTGTTTCTCTTGATTAGTGTGTAGAAGATGCCACTTCTGGGCTAGAGTTAGACTCCACTAGAAGACTTTGTACCCTTACAGACCAAGTGGGCTGTAGGCCACATCCCTAGATCAATATTGGTACAGTAACTGAAACCAGAATGGTCCTACCAATCAGTGCTGAGAAGCACAAAATATATTCATTCCGACTGAACTCCTTGACTTACAGGAACTTTGTATAAACTGTGTTTTATTCAAGGGCTTTGAGTAGAGCACAGGTCTCGCACTGGGCTTCTTCCCAGAGATGAGTTTCTCCCAATTAGCCTTGAGTAATTCTGCTTGTTTCCTGCACTTGTTAGAATTCTAATATTTAATTAACAGCTGCATGTCGAGCTCTGATCACACATCAGCACAGAAGATATCTGATCTGTAGCCCTTTGTAAATAGGTGATCCTGTACTCACCAGTCTGTTAAAGGGAACAACACAATTAGTCATGGAAGTTTTGCTTCTAAGCAGAGTGCATGCACATAAGGCTTATCTTTGTCACTGATTAGCATGAAAAGCTCCAAGAACATAATGCTAAATGAAGCCTATTTGACAGAGAATTTATTATATGGCTGTAACTGTGATACATCAGCGCAACTATTTGCATTGTACAGCATCATCAAGTTCAAGCTGCATTCTTGATGGGTGGAGTTAGCTGTTGGGTCTGATTCTTCTTTGCCCTGCACTTTGTGCAGTCATTTACAGCTGTGAGTGCAAAGTGTATGTAAAAGGCTAACAGATCAGAGGGGGTAGCATAAGCCATGCTAACACACTGCGGTTTTGTCCCACTCTGGTGGCTAGATGAAGCATAGAGGTCTATGAATCTGCTCTGAGCTAATGGACTTGGACCCAGATCCTTAAAGGCATTTAGGCTCCTAGTTTCCTTGGTCCTTTAGCTCAACCAGTAGCAGTGAATGCTTTTTGCTGCAGAGGTCCTGGGTTCAGTCCCTAAAACCACCCTCTGACTTGGGGTGTCATTACAGCAGTGTTTTAGCTGACTCTGCACAGGTGTAAATGACTAACGAGGTTCAGGGTAATGGAGCATTGGGCCCTATTATGTTTGCTGTGTGTTGTAGTGATGCTTTGGGAAATTATTACCAGCTTTACTACTGTGAGAATGGGGAGGACGTGCGTACATGCCTTACTAAGTAACCATGAGCTCTTATTATTGTCATCTTTGTCCGTCCTGTCCATTTGCCCCACTTTGTCTCTTTATGTCCCCGCTTGTTGTGGCACAATGAATATAAATTGTAAGCTCATCAGGGCAAGGATATCATCTTTATTTGTGTCTGAGCAATGCCTGGCACAATGTGGGGACCTCAAATTAACAAATAAAATAATAATATTGGCTAAATCACTTGCTCTGTGTGTGCCTCAGTTTGTCCATCTGTAAAATGGGGATAATACTACTTACTTCATTAGTGACTAACAACTGCTTTGAGATCCTTGTATTAATTAAGGGGAAATGTTATATATGGAAAGTGCCATTCATGTGCAGAGTATTCTGACTGATTAATTATAGCTAACTGCCAACAGTGTGCTTGACGCTGTATGAGACACCTCAGAAGGATGGTCCCTGCATCGTCTCTGCAGCTTAGTGTCCCACTGCTAATACTGCTGGAAAAGTGGCAGTAGCAGCTATTTAAAAGGTTTGCACACAGCGGCACTGAGACAGATCACAGGCTGCTGGCTTCATCAAGGCCTTCATAGAAAATCAGTGAGAGGAGAAGCTAAGTAAATTCAGGGGAAGAAAATGCCCAAAAGTCAGGGTGCTGGAACCAGTGGGTGTGCCGGGGGGGGGAACTCACCAGGGCGCCCCCTCCATCCAAGAGGCAAATGCTATTGGCTGCTGTTGTGGTTGTCCAGCAGTGTGCAGCTTTCGTGGCCCAGGTCATCTCTCAAGTTCAGTCCCCTGTCCAGGGTAACAGGAGTCCAGTCAAAAGATCATCTAAACAAACGGTTCTTCTGCTCCTATTGGCCTCCTCTTCAGCCTGCCATCTGGGCTCAGCTCTCAGACCCTTCTGGGCTACCTTTAGGTCCTTCCCTGCCCTGCTACAGAGCACCAACTCCCTGACTGCTTTCCCTGGTGTCCCTCTTGCAGTCCATCACTCGCTGAATTTCCCTGCTCTTCACCCTACTTGTGGGCCTCGCTTGTTCTTCTTTGCTTCTTTAGCAGAGCACTGCCCCCAGACTTTCTCACTGGATGCTCTTTATCTTCCCAGGTTTTCACTGCCTGCCCTCCCAGGGGACTCCCTACAGACCCTACCTTTGGGCCTCCCGCAGGAGCCCAGCCTGCTCCCTGTTAGTTTTTCTCCTTTAACTGAGTGCTTGCAACCCTTTTTATGAGGCCCAGATGTTCATCAGATTATGACCTGACCCCCTTAGTCCCTCCCCCTCAGGCTGGGAGGCAGCTAATTATGGCACAGTGGGGCTTGCCCCATTTTCCCTTCAGGGGGCTGGTCACCCTGTGGCAGGGAGGAATAGGCAAAGGTAGCTTTTCTGACTTCTTGGAACCTGCAGCAGCTCAGGCTCTGTTCAGTCCCCAATGCAACTTAGAGCAGCCTCAGGGTTGCTATGTTGTGCCTAGCTGCTTATGGCTGTTGGGGTCATTCTAGCAGCAAAGGATTGCCACATCTTGAGAACTCACCCCTATTCTGCCACACCAGCCAAGCAGGGCAATCCTCCGAGATCCTGTGAAGCTGGCAGCACAAAGAGGCTTAAAATCTGTCGTAGTATGGTCATCTGAACCTCTTCGGGCCTCTCATGATAAACAGACCAGGCTAAAACGTCACCGGTCCTTCAGGCACAACCAGAACCAAAACGTTCAATAAAGTTTGGGCCATGGCTGTTTCTGTGCTCCCAGGATCCTTCTGGCTTCTGGCTCTGGCTGGATCCTGGGAGCACAGAAACAGCCATGGCCCAAACTTTATTGAACGTTTTGGTTCTGGTTGTGCCTGAAGGACCGGTGACGTTTTAGCCTGGTCTGTTTATCCCAACTAGGTCACCCATCCCCATTTGAAATACAACAAGGTGCTTCTAAAAGAATGCAGAGCCCATCTGTCGATGGTTCATGCTTCTTACAATGACACTGAGGAAGCCAGTGGCAGAGTTGTCCTGCTATGGCTAGACCCTTGCAAACTGCTGGGTAGCCTCTTGCCTTCAGGCACTGTAATGTCACTGTAGGCTGGTGGGAGTGATGTCAGAATAGGATCCAATCAGCATCTGCAGCGTAATGCCATCCCCAGCAGCACTATGTTCCAGAGTTCGCAATTTCAAGAGGAACAAAGCACGGTCCTCACTGCAGGTAGGTAACTGGCAGAGATGGAAAATGAGGGGCTGTCTGATGGCTTTTAATGCCATGAGCCACACTTGGGGGTGGAGGAGGAGCAGTGGGTTCTACACCAATAGCACATACCTGAATTCAGGGCAAACGCAGCTGTTGGGCATGGTAGGTGAGCACAGACCAAAGTAGAGGTTGTTATGATGCTGGTGTGCTCACCCATGCCACTCTCATGACCAGTGTGGACATGTCCGCCCTATCCCTTCCCCTGAGGCAACCTCCCGCTGGTGTGACTCCCTCTGTCTCTCATCCTGTCTTTCCTCCTTTTGTGCATCCATGCAGGACCAGACAAAATTTGACTTTACATATTTACCATGGACTCTCGGGCCCCCACGTTGTATTAGGAGGGACTTGAATGTACAGTTACTGATCATAGGATGTGGTTGTCCCTTTTACCTGGAGCCCCATATTTCTCTGCTAGCTCCATTTTATGGCATGGAGGAGTCAAGAATTGCCATGAGTCAGCAGCGCGTCTGGGGCCAGCTGCCAAGAAAACCAGAACACTGCTGCACTGCTCCTTGGTCGAGGTGGAAGCCCAGGTTCCATAAGGAAGGAGAGTCCCTTAGGAATGTGTTTAGACCCAGTAGCCCTGTGGCCACCATTTGCTGTTCACATTCCTAAAGGCGTCAAACAAGGCAGCTGGGTCTAAAGCGACTGTGCAAGAGCAAAGCTACTGCCCGTCTGCACTTGCTTTAGTTTGGGGCTCACCCTTTCATAGAATCATAGAATATCAGGGTTGGAAGGGACCTCAGGAGGTCATCTAGTCCAACCCCCTGCTCAAAAGCAGGACCCATCCCCAATTAAATCATCCCAGCCAGGGCTTTGTCAAGCCTGACCTTAAAAACTTCTAAGGAAGGAGATTCCACCACCTCCCTAGGCAACGCATTCCAGTGTTTCAACACCCTCCTAGTGAAAAAGTTTTTCCTAATATCCAACCTAAACCTCCCCCACTGCAACTTGAGACCATTACTCCTTGTCCTGTCCTCTTCCACCACTGAGAATAGTCTAGAATCATCCTCTCTGGAACCACCTCTCAGGTAGTTGAAAGCAGCTATCAAATCCCCCCTCATTCTTCTCTTCCGCAGACTAAACAATCCCAGTTCCCTCAGCCTCTCCTCATAACTCATGTGTTCCAGACCCCTAATCATTTTTGTTGCCCTTCGCTGGACTCTTTCCAATTTATCCACATCCTTCTTGTAGTGTGGGGCCCAAAACTGGACACAGTACTCCAGATGAGGCCTCACCAATGTCGAATAGAGGGGGATGATCACGTCCCTCGATCTGCTCGCTATGCCCCTACTTATACATCCCAAAATACCATTGGCCTTCTTGGCAACAAGGGCACACTGCTGACTCATATCCAGCTTCTCGTCCACTGTAACCCCTAAGTCCTTTTCTGCAGAACTGCTGCCTAGCCATTCGGTCCCTAGTCTGTAGCTGTGCATTGGGTTCTTCCGTCCTAAGTGCAGGACCCTGCACTTATCCTTATTGAACCTCATCAGATTTCTTTTGGCCCAATCCTCCAATTTGTCTAGGTCCCTCTGTATCCTATCCCTCCCCTCCAGCGTGTCTACCACTCCTCCCAGTTTAGTATCATCCGCAAATTTGCTGAGAGTGCAATCCACACCATCCTCCAGATCATTTATGAAGATATTGAACAAAACCGGCCCCAGGACCGACCCCTGGGGCACTCCACTTGACACCGGCCGCCAACTAGACATGGAGCCATTGATCACTACCCGTTGAGCCCGACAATCTAGCCAACTTTCTACCCACCTTATAGTGCATTCATCCAGCCCATACTTCTTTAACTTGCTGACAAGAATACTGTGGGAGACCGTGTCAAAAGCTTTGCTAAAGTCAAGATACAATACATCCACTGCTTTCCCTTCATCCACAGAACCAGTAATCTCATCATAGAAGGCGATTAGATTATTCAGGCATGACCTTCCCTTGGTGAATCCATGCTGACTGTTCCTGATCACTTTCCTCTCATGTAAGTGCTTCAGGATTGATTCCTTGAGGACCTGCTCCATGATTTTTCCGGGGACTGAAGTGAGGCTGACTGGCCTGTAGTTCCCAGGATCCTCCTTCTTCCCTTTTTTAAAGATTGGCACTACATTAGCCTTTTTCCAGTCATCCGGTACTTCCCCCGTTCGCCACGAGTTTTCAAAGATAAAGGCCAATGGCTCTGCAATCACGGCCGCCAGTTCCTTTAGCACTCTCGGATGCAACTCATCCAGCCCCATGGACTTGTGCACGTCCAGCTTTTCTAAATAGTCCCTAACCACCTCTTTCTCCACAGAGGGCTGGCCATCTATTCCCCATGTTGTGATGCCCAGCGCAGCAGTCTGGGAGCTAACCTTGTTCGTGAAGACAGAGGCAAAAAAAGCATTGAGTACATTAGCTTTTTCCACATCCTCTGTCACTAGGTTGCCTCCCTCATTCATTAAGGGGCCCACACTTTCCTTGGCTTTCTTCTTGTTGCCAACATACCTGAAGAAACCCTTCTTGTTACTCTTAACATCTCTCGCTAGCTGCAACTCCAGGTGTGATTTGGCCTTCCTGATTTCACTCCTGCATGCTCGAGCAATATTTTTATACTCTTCCCTGGTCATATGTCCAACCTTCCACTTCTTGTAAGCTTCTTTTTTATGCTTAAGATCCGCTAGGATTTCACCGTTAAGCCAAGCTGGTTGCCTGCCATATTTACTATTCTTTCGACACATCGGGATGGTTTGTCCCTGTAACCTCAACAGGGATTCCTTGAAATACAGCCAGCTCTCCTGGACTCCTTTCCCCTTCATGTTAGTCCCCCAGGGGATCCTACCCATCCGTTCCCTGAGGGAGTCGAAGTCTGCTTTTCTGAAGTCCAGGGTCCGTATTCTGCTGCTTACCTTTCTTCCCTGTGTCAGGATCCTGAACTCAACCAACTCATGGTCACTGCCTGCCAGATTCCCATCCACTTTTGCTTCCCCTACTAATTCTTCCCGGTTTGTGAGCA